TGACTTGCGACGAATCCCAATACATAATGAGGAAATCACTTACGATGAACTTATTTTAATGATGCAACGTGTCTTCAAACAGTATATTACAAAGGAAGATGAATTATTGGTAAAATATAAGGACGAAGGTGAGTGCAAACTTCTCATGTTCACCCTTCAGATGGGGACTTTATAACGATTGAGGATGAGTCTGAGCTCTCCCTCGCCATACAGTCCAGCAAGGTGCTACAGATTAAAGTCTTCGGTACGTTTCATTCTGGTCAAAGTTACTTTAACAACTCATATATTGGTCTTAAAGCTCTGGTTTTCACATTCTTCTAAAAAATAAGACCATCATACATAAGGGTTCTCAGGACCAGGACCCCATTAGTCTTCAGTAACAAGGATAGTAGGTTGGTGAACCTGTGTTAATCCTGACAGATTGCCTTCCAATGAAGGTTCAGCGTTTCTTTGAAAATATTCACTGATGGGGCTAATACCACTTCTTTGGGTAGGGCGTTCCAGTCATTGACTATTCGATAAGAAAAACGGGACCCAAGTTTAAGTTTATTAGATCGCGGTTTGTGAAACTTCTTGCTATGACCTCGGAGATTATTAGTGCTGGAGGGAGCGGAAAGATAGGACATATTAACACCCAAATCATGATCAAAGATACGAAATGCCAGTATAAGGTCACCTCGAGTCCTGCGATACGACAAGGGGAAAAGGTTTAGGCGTTTTAAACGCTCATCGCAAGGGAGTTGAAAAAGACCCTTCACTAATTTTGTTCATACACGCTCAAGTGAGTCGGTATCCTTTACCAGACATGGACCAGGTGCTTAGATACAGTACTCTAAATGTGGTTTTACACAGGTGGCATATAAAATTCGAGACATTTCCTCGTCAAAGCATTTGAATGCTCAGTAGTATGATAGTAACTATTGCAGTAACCGATGTGCATTAGCACACTCTTCCTAGAATTGATTCCTAAGCCCCAACCTCGAGCTCATCTAACCAATTCGTCTAAGTCAGCTTGGAGATCAAAATAATCAGCCTCACTTTTCATTGTTCCCCAGATTTTTACGTCATTCGCAAACAAAAATGTCGACGACCTAAGCAACAGCGGTAACTCGTTAACGTAGAGAAGTAAGAGCAGAGGGCCTAAGATGATGCCTTGGGATGTTACGGGAGAACTGAAGACCTTTGACGGATTAAAACCCTTTATTGTACATTAATAATTTACTGTGCCTTTGGATGTAATTGTTTTACTTAACTTTTGAACTTGTTTGTTTATATCATTATTTCGGACATTTTGGTTTGTCTTTGGTTTGATATTTTGGTGCTCCTTTTGTCTTTGGTTTGGTATTTGGGAGTTTTGCTCCGGGAACCTACAAAATTGAAGGTTTGTTTTGTAATTGTTATAATTATTGTTATTAGAACGACATTTGGTCGATTATTTGTGAATTACGAATAAATTTGGTATCTAAATTGGAACTTGGTTCTGTTGTTAATTTGGGTTCGTAATTTGCAAGTAGATCGATAGTCCGTACTTCAATAACTGGAACGAGCAAAACTTGGACGTAACATTGGGATACATCACTTTTCACTGGCTTCCAATCAAATAGCGTTCCGTTGACCCTCACTCTCTGTTTGCGGTCACATAAGAAATTTCTTATCCACTCCTGTACAGAACCTATTATTCCGAAGTTCGAGAGCTTGTGCATAAGACCTAAGTGTGAAACCTCGTCAAATGCCTTGCTAAAATCTATGAATATCACATCGACAAGCAGACGGTCATCTAGGACTGCTGTCCAGTCCTCTCTCACAATAAGTAAGTTAGTCAAGCATGAACGCTTGTTACGAAACCCATGTTGCTCAGGAGCTAACATTGTGTGAATCTATGTGACTTAGCAACTTAACCCGAATTATCTTTTCAGGTAACTTAACGAATATGCTGGTTAGACTGACAGGCCGGTTATTCAAAATTACGTCTCTAATCAAAATTCCCAAGTACCAACTTCAAGAACCTTCTCAGTGGGTTCTCGCCTCCAAACTATGTACAAAGTTTTATTGCTTTCGTGATATGCACTCCTGAAACCTCTTCAGCCAGTACATTTCCGATCACAGATTCCACTAACTGCAAATCATGTGCGTGTCTTTTAGCAGGGTCGTTGTCTTTTGACTCCTCTAGATTCCGAAAATTAATGTAGGAAGTGGTTTATTTCCTTTGAAAGTCACGTTCCCGTCAGTTGTAACTTGAGGATAAGTTTTTTTAAATATTCTTACTGGTAGATCATTTCAATTTTTCTTTCTTACTATGTATCCTGTTGCTAAATAAGATTTCTGCATTGCTTTGTTGTTTCCTATCTACGGCACTATAGCTTCGATTGGTTCCACTGCGGATTATGTGTACCTGTACGTTACTTTTTAACCACGATTAGTCGATTAAAGGTCTGTAGTGACTCACGTTTATCACGAGAACACGACTGGTTTAATAAAAACAATTATTATTATAACCAACTGTACCAGTGTTTGTTTTAATGTGCTTTTGTTTAACTGTGCTAATGACAGCTATTTTGTGCTTCCATTCTTTAACTTACACTTCGATTGTAACTTCGCGCGAATTCGGTTACCTTCTGTAACCAAGCTTGTATCCTGGCACGATCTCGGTATCCTTTTGATGCCACGAGATCGCCAGCAAATAAACATCGACTTGGTCCATTAACTGCCTTCTGGTATTCGGCTTCTCGGGGATTTTATGGAGTCATTTGGAACGAGCTTCTTACGCCTTCTGATCTATTTGGCACGTGTTTCTTGGTAGCGGTGTTCATAGTTAATCTCAACACGACGCCACGCTACAATTGGTAATCCCAATTCGAATACAGGTCCTTCAGACGGATGGATTTCGAAAGTGACTTTGAAGACTGTTAATTAAAGTAATCAACCTCCAGATTTTAGGAAAATATCGGGGTTTCACTCAAAATCATGTGAAAATCCATAGTTTCCTACCAGAGTCCGCCAAACCGTTTGGGCAAAACTCCAGACCAGTGTGAATCTCGGGGATTTTCCTATATTCAGTGGAAATTCAGGGGAAAAACCAAAAAGCTGAGTAGTGCGGCTATGTGAACACAATGGCTACAAATGATATTGTTCTTATATTACGGTACAATTAACCAAGTGCTCCAGTACTAAATGTATGGTGTTGTTTACATGCCATATAGACACGAGATATAAAAAGTTTGTTCCACTCCACTTTGACATAAACCTAACATCACGCAGACATGTCTGTGTTACAGCTACAAACTTTGATTATTTTTTGATTCAACCTACCTGCAGTTACCTTTTTTTCTTAGACTGATCATAATGAACTTAATGAAAGATATGAGAGACAAGTGGAAGCCAGTAGTACCAAACTTGGTGGATTGCCATCGGTCGACACTTTATAGGGAGTTAAGGAAGTCATGAGATGAGTTTGAAAAGATATACTATTTGACCATAACCGGGAGACAAACCTGTAACACTACGCATCCGAACGATTGCAGCTACACTGTCCGATTTCACGATCGCCTCACATAGCTACAGTCGTTGTGTACCTGTTGCAGCCACTGGTGTTTTCTTATATCTTAGAAAGTTTAAATATAGCGATGTGCCAACTTTCAGCATCTCCCAGAAAAAGAAAAAAATTATACACCAATCCAAAGTTACTAGCATCTGTCCCACACACGCTTCTCCTGGTACCGTTCTACGTAAAAGACCTTCGTTGGCAACTCGAGGATCTGCGATCGCTTCCTGTTTCGCCAATTCTTCCGTCTTACAATCTCACGTTTGCCGATCAGTCCCACGAACTAAACCTCTACATATCGAAAGAGTAAACCCGTTCTAGCGAGGGACAGTATCATTCATAAACAGGGTGGATCTGATGCAGATGTGAAGGCGCGGATCAGCAAAGCAAGAGCAGCATATTTACAACCGAAGAACATCTGGAACTCAAAGCAACTGTCAACCAACACCAAGGTCAGGATTTTCAATACAAATGTCAAGACAGTCCTACTGTATGGGTCGGAAACCTGGAGAACTACGAAAGCCATCATCCAGAAAATACAGGTGTTTATTAACAGTTGTCTACGCAACATACTTCGGATCCGTTGGCCGGACACTATTAGCGACATCCTACTGTGGGAGAGAACAAACCAGATCTCAGCGGAGGAAGAAATCAGAAAGAAGCGTTGGAAGTGAATAGGACCCACATTGAGGAAAGCACCCAACTGCATCATAAGACAAGCCTTCACATGGAATCTTGAAGGCCAAAGGAAAAGAGGAAGACCAAAGAACACATTACGCCGAGAAATGGAGATAGACATGAGAAAAATGAACAAGAATTGGGTGGAACTAGAAAAGAAGGTCCAGGACGGAGTTGGTTGGAGGATGCTGGTCTGCGGCCTATGGTTCTTCGGGAGTAACAGGCGTAAGTAAGTTACGGATGAGTGGCATACAGTCGCTTGAAGCACCATGAAACGATCATTACGAAGATTATCTTTAAATCTCATTCTTCAATAAGAAATTTCATACTTAAGAACTGACAGATCAAACTGGTTGCTTTAACGCAAAAGCTCTAACGGTAATGTAAACCAGTATTGTGCGGCAGTAAGTCAGTAAAGTTATAGAATCACCGGTTTCCTTTTTGAGAAGATTCAAAATACTAGTGAAACCTGAAAGTGGAGTCTTTAGCAAGCAACTAATACAACCGAACTTTCCAACTATCATTGTAATGTAGGTATAACATATTTAATGTGCTTTAGTGTTGACTGACTCCATTTCGTAAAAAATTGTTAGTAAAACCAGAAATATGTCGTTTAGTTTGTTGTATATTAATGATCGCTCATCAGCTAGCAACGAAATCTGCGTAGGCGTACCAGTCCTAAGACCAGGATCTCAGGCTATATTACACCGATTCAACATACGGAAAGCTCATATCAGTAACCTCTGTGATATATACACTGAGAATTTACTCAAGAAAAGACTGACTTGTTTAGTACTTTTATTTCCTTACAGAGTAATAACAGAAGATTCTAAAGGTATAAAATAAATTACGTTTCTAAATAGAATATACGACAAGAGTCTTACAAACAAATATCTTGTTGTTTTTCTTGTCATCTATAAAAAAAGAAAAAGAAATGATAATTTTGCTATTACAGTAATGATGGTTTACAGTCAAACTCCGTAACTGGATGATATTCAAGCCTCATAACACTACTTCACACTTTTTTACCGAAAGTTAAAATTGCCTGAATTTTGAGTGTGGTTCAGAGCCGATTACACACATATCAAATTGGTCAATAAGTAGCACTAGTTATAATTGTAGTTCATAACAGAAATGAGCTGATAACTGTAGAGAAGTTTGATCAACCACTTCCTTTCCATTAATGTTTACCGACCCCATCCTTATTTTATTTATTTATTTGGACACATGAATATTGGTACAAGAGAGCGCCAATATATATGCGCCACACAAAACAATGAAAATTCAAGAGGAATACAAAGAAAGAAAGAAAAGCTAAGGAGCGCAACAACAAAAAAAGAGAGAACAATAACGAAGAGATTGGTGTAAGGTAATGTGCTAGTAATCAGGGAACCCAAAGGTACAATCGGAAGAAATCTTTCAGTTAAGGAAGACACTCCCACTTTTTATGAAGAAAATAAAAGAAGGTTACAGCAGGATCGCCACTGGCTTCTATTCTGAGCCATATCTGATAACGTCTCTAGCCACTGTGTAGCACCATCTCTCAGACCCCAACCAGAGAGTCGTGAAGGACCAACAGAAGACAGTCCTTTGCAGCTTTCTTTCATGCCACGACACCATGTCATGCACTGACCACCTCTCCGTTTCTTCTAACCAGCCCCAGAGTCGGCAAATAATGCACGACGTGGAATTCTCTGAGACGACATTCGTAGGACATGTCCAAGCCACCGAAGTCGATGTTTCGAGATCGTGACACCAATTGAACTATCGTCTCTGCGCCCGAACACACGATGCCGAACCTCTTCATTACTGACATGGTGTTGCCGCTGGATGTCAGCAATCCTTCGGAGACAGCGATGATCGAACACAGAGAGTCGTCTAACGTCCTCAACTCGGAGAGGGCAGGTTTCACAAGCATAGAGTAAAACTGCTCTCACCGACGCGTTGTAGATCCGACCTTTTACGGCCAAACTAACATCACGAAGGCGCCATAGATGGCCCAGATTGGCATAAGCCGCTCTGGCTTTCACTATACGTGCATTGATCTCATCACTCACACCCCGATCAGCACTTATGCAGCTACCCAGATACACGAACTTCTCGACTACGTCTATCTGCTCACCATCCAGGGTGAGTACAGGATAGGAATCCTGCCAGTCTTGTAGGAGTACTTTGCACTTCGAAGGTCCAAAGCACATACCATATCTACGGACACTGATTGCCAACTGATTAAGTGCGGATTGCATGCCTTGGGCATTATCGCACAGTAAGACAATATTGTCCGCATACTCAAGGTCGAGAAGTCTTTCTCCAGGCAACAGATCCACACCACCATTACTTACATTCATCAGAGCTGTTTCCAGAATGTCATCGATGGCAAAGTTGAAGAGGAATGGTGAGATTGGGCAACCCTGCCTAACGCCACTACTCGAATGGAACAATGGAGAGAGGTGGTTGTATGCCCCCACTGTGCCTGAGGTGTTTTTATATAAGGCCTTTAGGATGTTAATAAACTTCTCAGGCACACCCTTCTTCAATAGACAATCCCAGAGAACAGTCCTATCCAACGAATCGAAGGCAGCCCTGATGTCAAGAAACACTACGATTGTTGGCCTTTGATAAGTATGGCGATGTTCTAACATTTGGCGGAGGGTGAAGATATGATCAATACATCCTCGACCAGAACGAAACCCAGCCTGCTCCTCGCGAGTCAATCTTTCTCGGGTTTTGAACAACCTACGAAGTATGACGGAAGCAAATAGCTTGGACGCAATCGGAAGTAGACTTATCCCCAGATCGTTGTTACAGGAACGACGTGAACTCTTTTTAAAGATAGGGACAACTATCGACTCATTCCATGACGTTGGTACACTCTCTAGTTCCCAAACCTTTGTAAACAACGTCGTCAATTCCTTAGTCAAAAAGTCACCACCATCTTTAAAAAGAGCCGGAGGTAAGTCACTTGGGTCAGGTGATTTGTAGCGCTTCGAGAGTTGGAGTTCCTTGCGGACTTCCTTCTCGTTTGGTGGATCAGTCGTCACCGGCCATGGAGGGCAGGACAGTCTGACCGATGTTGCCGGAGCAGCAGGCCAGTTGAACTGCCCTTCGAAAAATTCTGCCCATCGTCCAAGACGTCGATGGATGTTAGTGATTGGCATCCCGTCATCCTCACAGATTGTTTCGCTCACACCAGACTTCTTGCTGCTAGTGGCTCGAATGAGTTGGAAGAGCTTCCGGTAGTTACCAGATGCAGCTGCTGCTTCCAGCTCATTAGCATACTCCGACCACCAGGCTTCTCGGTCCTTACGCAAGCTTTGCCCGATTTTCTTACGTAACATCCTTCGTTTATGGTCAAACTCACGGTCACCCGGAGTAGACCGACGGGCTTCAATGAGTTATAAGGAACCAGAAGAAACCCAGTGCTTAAAAGCGGGACGTTTCGCAAACCCACAACTGACTGTACCCGCCATTTTCATGGCGTCATGCAATTGCAACCAATGCTCATCTATACTTTTCGGTGGAATGGTAGCTAGCCTACAAGCTAGCTCGGTTCGATACTTACTTGCAACAGAAGTTGCAACCAGCTTGCTAATATCAATCCGTTGATGGCGGTCACTTCTTTGTCCACTGAAAAGTAAATTAAGATTGGCGCACACCAAAGCATAATCAGATTCCAGATAGGTACTCGAAAAGGAGCGGCAGTCTTGTACACAACCACGCCAGCGGTAGCTGATCGCGATGTGATCAATCTGAGTCCAGGTTTGAGATGCAGAGGGAGGACGCCGGGTGGCAAATCGGCGATGACTGTGCCGAAAGTTAGTGCTAGCCAGAAACAGGTTGTGGTCTGTGCACAGTTGCAGTAGACGGTCCCCGTTACCTGTCCTGCGACCAACAAGTCCCCATCGGCCACCTAAACGACTCTCTTCTGTGCCTAGACGCCCGACCTGAGCATTGAATTCTCCAGGTAATACTACAACATCTGTCGAACGCACTTTCTGGAGAAGAACAGTTAACTGGTGGTAGGATTCATCCTCGATTGCATCCGGGCTGGAATCTCTCGGAGCATAGGCGGAGATGACGAAAAGACATCATTTCTCACGCCGATTTCTTCTCACTTTGATGGAACTCTCTAATCTAACAGCACATAACCGACTGTTAATGGGGATCCAATCGATTAGTGCTGCCTCAGCTCTAGCGCTTAGTGCGACACCAACGCCAGCAAGACCAGACGAAGATGCCACAGGGTCCCCGGATAAGCGCACGTAAAACAAGTCTTTCGAAGCGACAGATGGAGAGCGAATTTGTAGTACTTCACCAGAGTCTTGAATACGGGTCTCGGATAGACAGCAGACATCGATATTAAGACTCTCTAAAGACATAACCAGCCCTATCTGTTGTCCAACCTGCATAAGTGTATGAACGTTGAAGGCAGCCTGTTTGAATGGTGCACGTGGTTTCAGAAAAACTGCTTCAGTACTCATATTCATTGGTAACATACAATTTTCAACCGGACAGTGACTCGAGAACGTTTAGATAGAGTCGAATTTCCACCAAAGACGAGCCGCTGTATAAGTATAAAAGAGGGTGAATAATGTGGGAAACAATAATAATAATAATAATAATAATAATAATAACGACAATAATAGTAATAATAATAGTATTGATAATGACAATAATAGTAATGATAATTATTTGAATCGACTGATTGTTTTTCGGAGCGATAAAAGTAGTTGCCAAAGACATAGAGTTCATCAGAATTGTGTGTGGGTTGCGATACTGCCCGGGCGCCCAGACCGAAGCAGGTGGTTTTCTTAGGGGACCACACCTCGAGCCTTTGACCTAATGGTCTAACCCACAAGGCAGTGGAGCATCGTAAGGAGATGCAGTCCGATGGTAGCTGGTAACAAATAAATTGGTTCATACGCCATTTGTTCCCGCAGGATGCTGGAGCCCATGTGCACCATTGGTTTGTGATCCGGTTAAAGCGCCGGACATTCGCTTTTCGTCCTCTCATTTTCGTAAACAACACCCTCGCCACGAGAAGGCACTGAGTAAGACTTCCCTGGCAGAGGTTGTATTAGCGTGGCCGTATGAGAGTATTTCGAGAGGGAGAGCGGACCCACCCCACTCTCGGCCGTACCAGGGCATTCGGGGGCCCCATCCTAACAAAATGGCATGTATGTCTGCATGTCAGACATAATTAACATCGGTGCAAGTTGTCAAGCCACATCAGCATGGTCGGCTAGAACTATCAAGAATGCCAAAGTAGTAGTAAAAGATATTGGGTAGACAGATGGATATATAACCCTTAAAAAAATATGTACACGGGAATTTGATAAACATAAATTGAAATTAGGTTGTATGTTTAATGTCTGTATAAAAATTAGATTAGCTATTCTTTCATTATTTGATCAAGCTTGTTTAAAAAAGCAGTAACCAATCGACTTTACGCTGTTCTAATTATAACACCCTCCTAAGTTGGCAATGTGGTCGGTACGATTAATTAATCTTGCCGATTTTCTTCTATTCCACCATAAATATCCTAATAACAAATTTGAAAGAACGTCGTTGTGGTTCAGACACGTTTTCAGCACAAAAAATAATAAACTTTCACTATGCCAGCATTATTTCACCAGTCAAAGGGCTTAATTACATAAATTGCGACTGCCCTTCATGTGTCATTGAAAATTATTTATTAGCATAAATATGAATAATGCCAACATATCAAGATTTTTCGAAGACTGTATACGACGGACCTCAAGAGCTGTCTCATCATCACTATGGTCATGATCCTGAGTTGCCAAAACAACTAATAATCTAATTTTCTTTTCAGATGACTCAAGAAAAAATGTCCTCCCATGATATAGAAATCTAGGAAGTGATAACTGTCCACGCATCTCGAACAACACTCAAGATTCTCTTGTTCATTTTCGAATCCCTTTGTCACTACTTAATATTCATTCCACCTATTCTCTTATGATGTTATCCACACCCACCACTAATGCTAACGATTCGAGTTCAAGAAATGCTATTCCTGGCCTCTTAAAAGCGCATGTTGGGGCTTTCAACATTACAATCTTACGTCAAAACAGATTTCATTAGCTAGAACTACAGAATATCGCGCTGTCTTTGAAATCCACATACAGGATTTAATGGTAGGATGAAGACCATGATCTACTATTCTAGCGTCTGGAGACTCAACCGGCACTTCTCGTGACCTTGCTAGTGTTTGGTGTACATCATAGGGTTCCAAAGCGGAATAGGTCCTCCTGGACTAGATTCCAAGACAATCGCTTATGAACAAGGAAAGACAAGGGCACACACTATTGTCTCTGCTTAGGATCCCACCGACTGGGGCTAAGATGAAGATGAGTTTCACAGAAAACTTTCTACTCTCTTTCAAAAAATCACAGTAATCATAACAGGTGATTATAATGGCTATATCTTAACCAAACCATAGAGCGATCAGATGGATTCTAAGTGTCCCAACTCAGCGAACAGATAACAGTATTTTCGGAAGCCAATATACCTAGACAACCGTTTAGTCCTAACAACCATAAACTTTAAACGAAAAGAAACAGCGACTGACACGGCAACACCACGATATGACCAACGATGAATGCAAGTAGACAATCTTGTCATCAGCCATCTTTGGAAGCTAGACAAAGGAATTTGCTTATTCTAGAGCACATGTCTAGATCCTGATCACATTTCAGAGTGAGGACGCGTTTGTGTCTCACTGGATGCAAAAATGATACAGCAATAAGATCCTTTAGAATTCAACTCAACGACGAATAAATCAAGAATCCTTCATGAAAAACTAGAGCAATTAGTCAACTATTAGCGTACTGTTCACCCCTCTGTAGGCTGGCATGATATTTAAACAAATTCGGAGACAATAGCGATATTTAGTAGCCGATTATAAGCCACATCACTTAACATCAACTATTGTTTAGGATAATAATATGGAGTACAACTAAATAGTCTACACGTCTTGGTTTGCTCATCCCTATATTTCTTACAAATTTTTTTACACCAGCTAACACCACACTTCACAATAGGTGATTGAGCACATGTAATACACCCCCTAACCACATCAGTTGAAGATTCACTATCTCATCAACCGATGTGTCATCCTAACTAAGTGTCCTAGGTTTAATGTCAGCATTAATTGACGTTTCTAGCATACTCCAGCATTGCTTTGGGCAGTTGAGTGAGATGAAAGTTATTGTAGAAATGATTCTAAACTATGTGTACATAGAACGTCATACACATTTAAGGAGAAATAAGATAAATTTGCATTTTATTTGAGGGTAAGCAAGTGACAGTCATAAAGTTCCGAATCAGAGAACAAACGGAACAAACTTGGGTTTGAGACAGTCAGTTGTGTTGGTTGTGAAGGCTTTTAACCTTGTAAATCAACTGGTATTTCAATTAATCTTGAAAGATAATTGGATGCGCACACAAATAGCCTGTCAATCGTTAGTCTTCTCTAGGAAAAAATTTGAATCATTCGCACCATATTCTTCACTATTCGGTAGAGCACATGTAAAAGTATAGTCATGTCATTAATCACCATCATGATATTAGTACACCATTTCAGGGACTCTTTCACATGTTGACTGAGTTTTTTACATATGAGATGTTTTGGGAATGTGACTTTACATATAACTGCCTCTTACATCCGCACAAGTTCAATTCACAGAAGAACGGACCAAGCTAGAGATATCATTACGTAATGCACAAATCGTTTTGCAGACCTAATAATCTTTGAATATGAAACAAGAAATCGGTTCAGTAAAAGGTTTTCTTTTAATGGTTTTCCTCTCAAAACCATACAACTTCAAACATATACCTTTTCACAATGATAAAGTATATGTTTACTAATAATAATTTATTGGTCACGGTAACATAAGCAAAATAAACAAAAAATACCCCTTGATTCATGAAACCATTGAAGCAGAACACCAAGAAGATAGATTTTAGCTGATTATATGGGACTATTGAGACTATGCACTTTTGCATCACTGACTGAACTTAGTTGGACAATCATTGAAAACCAGGAAGTACTGATAAACTGTTTCATCCTAGTATGGAACAACTGAGCACTGTGGGTATGCACGACTCTACTAGGGATCGGGCTCATGATTTCCAGACCACTGAGTTGACATCCACCGTTTTGCATTTCTAACTCTAGTCAATTTGCAACATTGAGCGGTAATCGCTCAAAAAAGACCTCTTTGCTGAACCACATACTTGTTCAAGTGACTTTTGTCGATGAGTTATCAAGATACGTAATCTTGTTTGATCATAAATCAATTCAGCCACCAAAGTATCCACATTTTCTCATACTACATCTAATAGTTTTTGCCATCACAATGGTGGCTTAAATATAGCTTTTCGTCGTTAGTATTATTTTTATCATTTTATCTACCGTACTAATAACAGGTTACGTAAGTTCATCATTGTAGATTACATAACTACCTAACTCTCAATTATTTCGTTCCTTTACAAAGTAGGGTTGTATGAACACAAGAGGTAGTTACAATTGTTATTCACCAGCAAACTACATGACCTTGCGCATGTTACATTCTATCTGTAAAAAAATTAGTGCATACGTGGACGATTCAGAGGATGTGAAATAAAATGAATTTATTTAATTTCTACAGTGTTAATTTTGCTTTCCGAAATTTAGTCAAAACAACAAAGTGTACGGGAATATAATAATAATAATAATAATAATAATAATAATAATAATAATAATAATAATAATAATAATAGTAATAATAATAATAATAATAGTAATAATAATAATAATAACAGTAGTCGTAGTTTTTCTGAACAGTATGTGATATTTCGCTATTCAGTCTTTAAACGACACTACTTGTAGGACACCATCAAAAGTAACATGCATTTAATTTAACATACTTGAATATGTCAGTGAAATTCATAGGTACATCATATGACTCAAGGTGCCAGACATATAACTTTTACTGTGATAAATTGATTTTTTACCTGCCCAGTACTTACTAAATATGAAAGTGAGAACGCATGCTTCTTTTGCAGAGAAATATTTCACGTCTTTGGTTTTGGATTATTTAAACCTTGTACAACTGCAGTTGCATATGTATCATTTAAGAAACTGATAGACTGATTTTAAGTATAAAAAACCCAACCAATTGTAAGAAACTTATTAAAATCTAAATATGTGTAAACTTACAGGAGATATGTGCGTACTGCAAGGATTTAGAAAATTAAGAGGGATATGGCTGGTTTCCATGATGACCTGGACCATAATTTTGCTGTGGCATTCCTGGTTGCGGAAAATAACCTGTTTGGTGAGAGCCTCCAGGTTGAGAGAATGAATTTGATTGTGGAAACGAACCAGGATTAGGAAAGACTGCAGGTTGTTGTGGCATCATTGAAGCTTGTTGCATGGGGTTGAAAGGCTGTGCAGGTGGATATTGTGGTGTCATGGGATTGGGGTAAAGTGGGTTGTGTTTATGATAACCACCTCCAATATTTTGTTCACCTGGTCCATATCCTCCTGTCATCCCATGCTTATAAAATAAAAAAGATTAATATACAAATCGTTAGGAGCAACTTTAGTGAAAAGTATTTTAATAAACAATAATATAAGTTTTTAAGTGATGGTAGAAGACAGATTGTTATATCTCGATGAGAATAAAGAATGGTAACTGTTGGAATCTATTTCTGGACTAATACTATACATATATTTTTATCGTATAATTGTTAAGTAACTAGAATATTCATATTCATATTCCTCTTATTATATGCTTTATTTTGACCCATAAACTATTATTATACGTTTTATCATTCTTGAGTTTTGCCTAGTCAATTAATGACAAGCCCCCACATTCACAACCAATTTTGGCTAGATTTTGTAAAAATGTTATTTTCTATTTTATGGTACGATGTGGTCTGTTTGGTTTCTATATAAACCCAGTATGTTTAAAATATATTATTCATATCACAGAGACTGAGATTGGTGTTCAGGACTTAACAGGCAGGGCTAGGCAGGAAGCAGGACCGACAAAAACTCTATACTGCTCGTACGGGTTCACGCGTCATTGGTCCGGTCGACAAATCACCGTTCTCTAATTGGCAATACCATTACGTTATATATTTAATAGGGTACAAGGTCAAAGATCATTTAAACCGAAAACACTCATTAATAATTTGTAATTAATTTTATGTTTGTTCAAGCTGACTCATGGTAAATTTGTTTTGCATTAACCTTATTCTCTGATTAGTTAAGTAAAAGGCAAAAGGAGTAGTGATGTCTTTACGATCTAAATTTATTCAATCACACAAGTAGAATATCAAACGAAATTTTAACACTGGTATCATGGTATAGTTCGTTTTCTTCATAGATATTTTTTTATTTTCCAAACTTTCGCAACTCAATTAGATGAAGCTCTCTCACATCATAACTATTTTGCTAGTCACTTTAAATGTAACTACTAAATATAATTGCGTAATTCTCCCCATGATCATATAAACGCCTCAACCAAACTTCCTACTGACTCATCATAATCGCTTGTTGTATACATTAAGACGTTTGCTCCACCAGGCTTCTGAAATATTAAAATAATTTCATTAAAATTTTCCGTCATGTACTGTTTACCCTTATAGTTTAAATTTTATATTTAGAATAGTTAGCAAATTCTAGCTAGTAATTGATGGATGGTGATGGTTAATAACAAGAATAACACATTTTTAGACTCATTTAACAGATACAGATTCATATAGATATCTTCGACCAGACTCCAAATGAGAGGGTTTTTAATGTTAAGTACCTGGTAGCTCAGATTGATATGGGTGGAACGAGCTTTAAACCTGAGACTTAGATCGAACCCCGCCCGACAACTTAACTAAAATGAAAGCAATCGAGTACTTGTAATATTGGGTTAAATAAACTATTTGATGACTGAAAGGTAACAAATGTTACGGTGTTTTGATCCTAGTACTGACTAAGCTCGACCCACCAAGTCTGCGATCAAGTTATTCAGCTTACAGATTCGATGCTCAGATGCATGGGACGTAGGCTTCACGGTATTTTAATATAACCGTTAAGCAACAAATATTAGGCGCTAAGATATTTAACTTAGCTCAACACTTTCTAGCTCATACAAGTTCGATGCATAAAATTTGTGTACTAATGCAAGGTGATTGGAATGATAGTGAAAAATCACACATTTGCGTCGATTACCTGATATCTTTGCATAAAGTTTTGGTCGCAGGCTAGAACACCATGAGGGCAATATCCGCAAATACAACGGTTTTTCTAATGATATAAAAAATTCAAAGCACATACTTTCATCATTTTTTTTCTGTACTTCAAACGTCGCTTCTCAATTCGTTCAGGCCTGTACCTGCCACCAGAGCTACTGCTGGAACTACTGCTGCTACTACTACTACTACTTCTCTTCCCATAACCTTTCTTCTTACCCATTTTGTTGCAGTTTCTTATGGAAGTATGTTGAAGTAGACTAGAAAATGAAGACATGATGTACAAGAAACAAAGTTACTGGCACAATAGATCATTTTCTATAATAAGTTAGTGTGGACATAAAAACCGATATTTAACGGTGGCTAGAGTATTTCGACTTCAAAAAATAGATCTAACGGCTGTAGGAAAAAAGCCATTGCTTTTATAGTACTCCCGGTGTGGAAATTAAGTCTAAACCAAACACCAACACTTTTAGTAACAAAAACAATATGACAATTTTTAAGCCTAAGAAGTATCAATCAAATGAACTTGGAAATCTGTAATTTTCAAAAGAGACGAAAACATGGAAGCTCTCAAGTACTTCGTTTTTTATTAATCGACTCGGGGGAATAAACCAAACGATCATAAAACCTTGGCAAAATATAAACAGTAATATCATCACAGACAAATACATGACATTTTAAGTTATAACAATGTAACAAACGTGATGAATTTTAAACGATAAACAAAATTTGACAAGGCGGATTTAGTTTCCATGGTACAGTCAGTCAGCTACAACGTAGGACCAGCCATAGATGTGCATCGGTACAAGTTGCCACACCTCATTAACACAACAAGATGAACACCAAATTCACAGAAGTAGATACTTCACTGACAGTAATGTACAATAGGAAGATTGTGTATAAGGATATAGCACAGAAAGAAAGAATTAGTTCGTAGAAAGTAAGATATAAAGCAATTTGACGAGAGCGCTATTTCTATCAGTAGGTCTATGATGAAGTTAAACAAATACGGAGAGCCTTGCCAGACACCATTTGAGGTTGCAAAAGCAGATGACAGTTCGCCATAAGCTCTCACTCGACTAGTAGTGTTCAAGTAAAGAGCCTGCACAAGGTTTATGTACTATAGAATCAAGCGCCATAGACGTGTGCTGAGTCTCCGAAACGCGCATACAGGATCTGACTAGTGTCATTCTTTGACTTCACCATGTCAAAGTAGCGAACCAACTCGAGTTCGCCATATGCTCTGACTCGACTAGTACACGGTACAAATGAAACAGAGATGTATACCTGTGAATGGGTCCTGAAGACATCAACTAGATGGTATCAACAAATTAAGACACTGTTTTAACAGACTATATTGAGTTGTCCATAATTACAATCAGACACTAAGATTTTTAGTGGGGCCCATCATTTTGACGTCGATTAGATAGGACGATGTTGTCGACGGGTTCACCATTTTTGTGGCTTGAGATCTGACTCCAGTTATATATGCTTGGTTGTTATATATATATTGTCAATCGTATAAAATTATCGACTTAACTAGCATTGGTGGATAACAGAATTAAATAAGTCAAATACGAGAAATGATTTCGAATACGTATACTTTGTATGATCACTGATCCAAGCAGACCATAAGAGAAACGAAGAGAAACGACACGCAGTGGAGAAGGCTTGTGAGCCAACTCCATTTAATCAAGCGTTAATCAATATTTATAGTCACACACCCCGACGGAAGCTGCTACCTTGACGCGGTGGTCGGGCTTGCCTATCGTGATGATCCAACCGAACTATATTGGCTAGAACATATGTTCCTGTAGGTTCTACCATGCCAGGCAGGTCGATTGGTGAACGGTAAGACTAAAAGCAGCAACTCAAGGTCTGAGGGCGAAGTCGTACTGCTGACTGTACAGAGGTGTGACAGCAGTAAGGTGTTTCCCTCGGACAACCAGCATGACAGCGATGCTGCCTTCCCACAAGGAGGGGTGGGGTTAGAAAAGGTCGACCCGAAAAATGTCACACCTCGCCTTATCCCACAGATATCCGTCTCCGGCGGTGAGGCCCTTTGAAGAACGGAGCTAACACGTCAAAAACCTTCCACAAAAAGGCCATGCGCGACCGGCCTCAAGCAGTTGTCCCTTGGACTCTGCGGTCACGCTCCCAGGTCGTCAAGACCAACACTAATCCAATTTCCTTTTCAGGTTCCTCAAGAAATACCCTTCCACGGTGTGGGCAGCCGGGAAGTGGCATCAGCCCTCATACCCGTAACAGCAGACCAGACCAAGTTGGTCACATTCAAATCCTTCCTACACCTCCTAATACCTCTCTTATCTCCATGACTAACCCTCCTCACGTCTCTTTATCACCTCGCACCGCTAGGGCAAACCATTCGAGTACGTGGAACGCTATTCCTAGTCTCCTGAAACCACGCTCTAAACTACACGTAGGAGCTTTTAACGTACGAACACTTTGCCAAATAGGACAGCAGGTTTCCTTAGCTAAAACTTTAGAATCTCGCGCCATCGATGTGTGCTGCGTCTCCGAAACGCGCATACAAGATCCGAGTAGCGTCATTCATTTGACCTCACCATGCCAAAATACAGAACCGACTCGATTTACGCTTCGTGTATCTGGAAGCCCTGATTCTGCTTTCCGTGGCCTCGCCGGCGCAGGCATTGCATTGAGTCCTAGAGCAGAACTAGCTCTCTTAGAGTGGATCCCAGTAGACAGCCGTTTGTGTGCTGTCCGACTGAACGGAACAGTAAGAATCCGGAAAGATAGGGGCACTCGTCGTGGTCTCTGCCTATTCTCCCACTGACTGCAGCTCAGATGATGTGAAAGATGAGTTTTACAGAAAGCTTTCCGAACTTCTCCGAAAAGCCAGGCGCTCTGATGTAGTAATAGTGGCCGGTGACTTTAATGCTCAAGTAGGTAAACTAAGCGATAGAGAAAGACACCTAGGTGAATCTTATAGCATCGTGGCTCAAAGAACAGATAATGGCGACCGTCTGTTGCAGCTATGCTCATATAACCGCCTGTTCCTTGCAAATATTAACTTTAAGCATAAGGAAAAACATCTTTTAACATGGCGACCCCCTGATTCGTCCCAACGTTGGACCCAAATAGATCACATCGCTAAAAGCCACTGATGGAGGGGCTCGATAGAAGACTGTCGCTCATTCTGGAGCACATGCTTAGATTCAGATCATGCTCTAGTACGAGCGCGTATCTGTCTGCGTCTTACTGGACGTAGGAAAGACGCTGCAAGGAAACCTCTTAGGGCCCTACTTAATGATAGTCAAGCTAAGAGTATATTTCAGGAACAACTAGGAAAACAGTTAGGCAGCCATGTATGTGATGCCCACCTCGAGGCAGCATGGAATGATATCCGAAAAGCTGTAGAAACAGCAGTGATATCTGCTAGTAAGGTAAACCAGAAGGTTAGAGAGCAACACTGGATCTCAGCAGCATCTACCACACTGATAGATGTTCGGAAACTCATTCCACCTGGCTCTGAACATAGTGAAGAGCGGAGTCAGCTTAAGCGCAAGCTGATAAGAAGTCTACGCAATGATCGCGAACAGTGGTGGGTAGCGAAGGCAAGAGAGATGGAAAAGGCAGTGGTGATAGGTAATAGCAGACAATTGTTCAGACTCGTTAAGGAAACCGGAATTAGCAACCCGAGCGTTAGCGAAACAATCTCAGAAAAAGATGGACATATTATTCATTCTCAATCCAAGATATTGGATTGATGGGCAGAACACTTTAGGGATCAGTTCAACTGGCCATTAGCCACACTTCGGTTTCCCACGTTCTCTAGTCAACCTGAATGGCAAGTTAATGTAGGCCTATAGCGACTCACGTGCAAATGGGTTTATTCTCATTTAACTCAGTTAAGCCGTTTTGCTAACTTATTTAGCGGACAAAGCCATCCGCACTATAACAATTTATTGTACCCTTATTATTATTTTGTGCTTGTATGAAATATGCATGCTTGAATATTGCTCACGGCCTACGCATTTATGTCACTCTGCTAGTCTCAATACTAACCGCTTATTTGATTCGATTACTCATTAATTTCACATGCTATATATATGTCCACGTTATTCATATGGCTGACTCTGCTTTCTCGCTCGCTTGATTGTACTCGATTACTTACATTCGCTCAGTCTCTCGCTTGCCTGTTTGCCGTTCGACACAACTCTTAATGCTCGTTTAATGCATCTGTAATTTTGGACATCTGTGTGTGTGGTCTCGAAATAAACGTAATCAACGCTTCGTATTCGCCTTCTGGATAATATACCGTTGGGGTTAAATAGGACGGTTATCAAGACGAATTGTATACCAAGTTTAAGGGATATATCGAATACGACCACCACAGGTCCTCCGTCCCTTTGCAAAGTTGAAAAAACAAGATGGACACCGGATTCATAAAAGTAGTTGATTCAGAGGTGGTAATATATAAGAGAAAGATTGCATATAAGGATATAGTACAGGAAGAAAGAATTAGTTCGTAGAAAGAAAGATATGAAGCGATTTTAATCTCTTAGTTTGAGGGCAGACAGAGAGTGTATACACCGACGCCATTGTGATCGATTCTGAGCCATGTCACCAAGAGTCTCCAACCATTGGTTACGATAGTCACGCGGACCCCAACCAAGTAGTCTGCATCTCCGAACATGGCTCAGACTACAAGTTAGTGACTTCAAGCACTGATGCCACGTTTTGGTTTGGCCGCCCCTAACTTTCTTCCAACCATCTCCAACACCGGTTAGCATTGCACGTCGTGTTAATCGGTGTTCGGGCATACGTAACACGTGGCTCAACCATCTCAGTCGATGAAGATTCACAAGCTGATCAACTGATTTACCATCATTCCTAATACCCTGCGTCTAACCTCACTATTACTTATCCGGTGATCCCAGCAGATGCCAGCAATATTTCTGAGGCATTTGTGGTCAAATATTAGTAGCTTACGAGTACCTTCTATTCTTAATGGCCATGTTTCGCTGCCGTAAATTAAAACAGAACGGACTGCCGCGCAGTATACTCGTCCTTTAATTGATAGACGAATATCTCGCCTTCGCCATAGGTGACGTAAACTGGCAAAAGCCAAACGACCTTTTCGAATCCGTGCTGAGATTTCGTCAGACACCAACCCATTACGGCTGATCAGACTTCCAAGATAAGTGAGGCAGTCAACACGCTCAACTACTTCACTCCCTATCATTAGTTCGGGTGTCGATGGAACCCAAACCTGAAGCAACATTTTGCATTTCGAGGGGGAGAATCGCACCCCAAACATGCTTGCATTGTTGCTTATAGTGGTCAGAAGACTCTGCATTTTGTCAGCGTCTCCACCAAACAGAACTATGTCATCGGCATATTCCAAGTCAACAAGTGGATCTCCCGGTAGAAGTTCAACCCCTGGAAATTTAGATGAGGAGAGTGTTATCTTTAAAGGCACGTCAACTACAAAGTTGAACAAGAATGGGGAGAGTGGACAGCCCTGACGAACACCACTTGAGGTAATCAATTCTGATGACAGTTCGCCATAAGCCCTCGCTCGGCCAGTTGTATTCGAGTAGAGAGCCTTTACAAGGTTAATGTACTTCTTTGGTACTCCTTTCAGTGACAAACACTGCCATAGAACCTCATGATCAACAGAGTTGGATGCTGCCTTGAGGTCGGGAAATACTACCATTGTGGGGCTTCTGAATGTGTGTCTGTGTTCTAGAACCTGACGTAGTGTGAATACCTGGTCTATACAACCACATCCAGGTCGAAAACCAGGTGAAAACACATGTTACGTGTGTCCAACCACCGACTGCCTCGACGTGCGATGCTCAATGATATAGGAGTAGGTTGGAAGAAAGCTAGGGGCGGCCAGACCAAAACATGGCACAAATCCATGAAGTCACTGACAAGTGGACTGAGCCATGTTGGTAGGTGTAGACTACCTGGTTGGGGTCCACGAGATGATAGCAACCGATGGTTAGAGACCCAGAATGACATGGCTCAAAATCGTTTGCAATGGTGCAGGTGCATCCACTCTTTGTGTTCTCCCAAATTCTAGTCTGAATTCTTCATGTCCTTTATTTTCTTTCCAAATTTATTTCACTGGATTATACTCCTTGAATAAAATCTTCAAACTCTAATCTTTCCGATTACTGCTTATACTCTTACTAACTACCACTAGGGGATTTCAGTCGATAACTGCATCTCTGTGCTAATATGGTATGGCAACTCGAACTGATGTACGTAGGTACGAGGTTCTACATTGTTACCGACTGATTGACTTTCCAGTTTGGAGTACGAGATTTTAACTCTCATAATATTTTGAAACCTTTGCGATGTTACCTAGACCACAAACTTTGCTTAACCGATAAACTAGAGTTGTCGAAATATGGGGAGAAAGCCACTGGCATTATAAAAATATAACTCCGGAAATTCAAGTACTCCAGACAATTTTTAGTGCATTGGATTGCTGCATTGAAGCTTAGAACTGTACGTCTGACCTCAGTATTACTCACCCGGTGGGCACACCGAATGGATGGAATGCTTTGAATACATTCACGATCAAGTACTTGAGGCCTATAAGTCTTCCACTTTTACAAGCTATACCTCGTGGGTGTAGAATTATACAAAGCGCACCGTTGAACAATAAACTTAGCTCTCCGATGGTGAACGGATATCTCGCTTACAACACAGGCAATAAAAGCTGTTAAGTTTCTAAGTCCGAGCCGAGACTTCATTAGTTATGAACTCAGCAAGGCCAGCAAGACCAATGAATCTGATAACTTTAAACCATATAATCAGATACGATATAACTCACTTGGTAATACAGAGTAGTGTAGTCGACCTTCCGAAGGGAGCTAATGATATTATGTAGCTACCAAAACCGAAGTGCAGCGGGATCTGAGATATAGTGGCCGATAGTCGAATCCCTATTCAAACTGAGTTGCGGAAATCTCAACCAAAAAGTGATTAAAATGAATAAATAACCAAGGGAGGATATTTATTTAGCAACAACTTCACGAATTCATTGTATTAGCTTGAATGAAAATAAGTCAAGGATATTATACTCGATGTATAGAAAGCCTCATTTGGAATATAGAATTAAAGCACCGAATCGTGGCTTGAAATATTAAGTAGATATACTACAATAGGTTCAACAGTGACCTAATATCCGGAGACTGAAACAAAGTGGATGGACAATAGGGAATTTGCATATGATTTTTTATTTGAGCAACACATCAGACAGGTTCGTTACACTATGAACTTAACTGGATCAGAGAGTTTATCTCCCTTAGGCAGCAAGGGTTAGTACCGAAGTTTCCTTTGAAAATGATGATAGGCTGCAACTCAGAACCGCCAAAACATCAACAGTATTAAATTCTTTTGTCAATTTGTGTCTCCCACTTTAGTTCCTCTAAATGCAGTTATGGTCAATCAAGAAGGTTACTATGAGCGATTGGACTACTTTTAACAGGGTTAAAAATAATCCGTCAGCGTTGAAAATGCTCAACTGCCTAGGTCTTGGAAGGAGCTCAGTTAATACACTAGTCATAAAACCTGCTACTAAAATTGTCCAACCGGTCATTAAGAAAGGTGAGAACTCGAACCACAATTCAACGGTGAAACACAAAGGACCCCAACCTCAACATAACAGTAAAGGTTCGTGATGATTCTCTAATAATCATGAAACTAAGAGACCACTCTGACCTTTATCTCAGTTTAAAGGGGAAAAACCAAAACTTAAGCAGGAAGCTCATGATTTTTTTTAAACTGAGCCACTAACGGTCAAATGACTTACCCAAGGGTAGGAAACTAAATTATTCCAAACCCTAAGTAACGCTCCCCATTGCTGACGATGCGGATGTTGTGCTGGCTAGTCACCTGCTAAAACCTCAGGGAGAACATGAGAATACTTCTAAATATGTCATATTCGGAATGCACTTTCATCAGGAACGGCCCTAAGGAATCTTGCGAATTCTTTCGCGGAAGGGACATTACTGTCAGAGGTATCCTAGAAAACATGGACCTCAATGATGAAGCATATCATATTCAAGAGTGGAAGTTCATAAAACAGTCATTGGTGTTTAAAAATATCTTAACTCAATAAGCAGTACTATTGGTCAAGGACATGAATACTAGACCCTAGCTGCTCAAAATAGGCTTTTCTTTCTCTTAAATGGCGACTGTCACTTTTGAGACATTTCGATACCAGTTATCAACAGGAGTCTACATGCATCCGGACAGTCCCAACGATGCCGGTAGAAGAACAAGCTGTAACTGCCTATTTCACTTGTGGAGTGTCAAGGACGAAATAAGGTGAAAGGGGCGGAGACTACGTATTCGTAAAGCCATATGTACGTATGTTTCTTGTTCATTCATATAAAGCACGTCTAGACTAACAGAACCAAGATATGGGCTTCAAATCGAAAGCATCGACTCTATATACGAACGCCGCAAGTTTACCATACAAAATGGGTTACTAGGTGGCTTTAAAATATTAAGTCCTCATACTGTTAAACTAGAACCATGTGTCTTTCAAGTCATTAACCTACTTCCTACTACAAAAAATTGGTTCAAGATTTCATTATTCTTATCACAGCTGGTAAACCTGTCATTACACTGCCAAGTTGTAATTTTTACTCGTAATGTTTATTTACGTAATCTATTTCACTGTTATCAATAACTCATAATTTACCTTAACTGGTTTAATACTTTGACATTCCCACATAGAAATTACGGTATAATAGAGTAAAGCATGAGGACCCAATGGAAAACAATATTGTTCGTTCGCATATGCCGTCTTAAGTTGGATGAGTTGTGAGAACTAAGTGATGCAAATAATACTAAGCTCAGTTCTTTAAGTTCACTGAGCAACTACGATTATTTGACGTGAAGTCAGTAACTAAGTGGAGAAATAGCTGCACGTTATCACAATGAGACTGCATCTTCACAAACGAAGAATTCATAGTTGATAATCTCTCAATCCTGGCTCACCTGGAGAAAAGGAACCACACCATCAGAGGAAATAGTCTTACTTACAGAACTGAACTAAAACACTCTTCTGGCAATGGGCGTTGAGGTTTTGGACACTTAACTTTAAAGAAAAATCTACATCAGGTAAAGTGAAAGACCTACCCTCAATTCAACGTGGTTGCTTATTGGGATTTTTAATTAACATAAACTTAGGTGCTACAAACCAGTCTGTTCCAAGAATGACACTCAAAAGCTATAAGCAGCTTTAAGTCACAAGGAATAGTATGTAAAATACGTAAAATATACTACTAGGAATACAAACGAACTAATGACGGTAGTACAAACAAGCGAGTAACTAGCGGAAAAGGCGCCAAAACAACAGACAAAGCTGATCGACAAACTTGTCTTCAATCCCAAAAACACTCCACCACGCAACATCTCTTCAGAAAGTCAAAGACCGAGTTCCCCAGTTAAGTTCTAATGACCCAGCAAATAACAACGGTGATACCTTACCGCTCCTGAGGAAAATATTTTCAGGCATAACGACCATTACGCACGACTCACAACAACGAGGACCCCACCTGCAACTTAACATGAGTCTCCGAAGTGGACCCAAGGACAGAGCTAGCTTACCAGGTCACTTTAGCCTCGCTCAAAGATCGTCCATAAATTATGGTCTCACCGCGCCTTTATTCTTGGCAATCCGCCTTATTTTGGTGTCCTGTCATCTGCTAAGCCAAGATGCAGTCAAAAGTAATCGGAAGTTGGTACTCACCACATCAATTTTCAACGGCAACCGATGCTATGAACCTTCAAATTGCCGTCTGGCGGCACTTCTTTTAGTACCCTCAAAGATTCTGGAATCTCTGGTGTATGATGGCCTAAGCGACTTGTTATCTAAAAACATTTTTCACTCTGACAAAACGGTTTGGGGAAGGGCCACCCAAAGATCATCAGTCTGCTGAATGCGATGAATATACGGCCCGCCATCATCGACCTCAAAATAAAGTTGGTGTGATATACCTCGGTTTCTCGAAAGCTTTTTGGTTAAATTCATTAGAAACCTCTATGCAAATACAAAATCCTAGTGAGAACAGGGACGGAGAATATACATTAACACTACTATGCTTTCAACCCCTTACCAAACCGATTAAATATGACTGGTGACTTGACACCGCTGTCTAAGGATACGGGGCATGTACCTCGACCAGAGTATTTAAGCCAATGGGAAATAACTGACAAAGTAGTATGCTGTTCAAAAGATATAGAACTGAGTGTGTTTACGAAGGTTATATTTTATCTCTTGGTCCCTTAACTTGGAACGATGTTTATACGTTCTTGTCGTAGGTTACGCATGTTAGTACTAGAAGCAAAGCTCTTGAATATAAGAGTACTGTAAGGAAAGCATAGGCTTCTACTGGAGATTACACTAACCCCGTCTGGATGTCCAGTGACTTCTTCAGCAAAGAAAATGGGAAGTCAATATACTAGATAAGATAAGGCGCACCAGCATGGTGAGACAGGATAAATAATTAGCGAAAAAACCACTATGGATGAAGGGATTTTGTAGCCGCTCCACACGCCACGGCTTATCCAGTAGGACTTACCAGTAGCAACACCGCCAGATGACCTGGCAGTTCAAGGCCGTTGACCTCCAAAATCCAATACTTTTTTCACAAGCCCGTATAAACCGTCTGATTTATTTGTGCTCGCTTTTTGTTGTTTCAGTACGGTTTCAGGTATCAGGTAATGTCCGATGGGTGAAAATCTAGCAATAAGTCCAGTCAGTTTGGCATTCATTCGTGGGCTTGTTTATGTAGCGATTTGAGAGTGTTTGCCTTTTAGTGGCTCTATTTCTGAATCCGATTATATTGTATGTTGATTGGTATTGAATTATACATCCTGACTACCCTCGTATGTCATTATCAACCTAACTCGCGTTACTTACAGGTGATGAGTAGGATAAGATGTGTACACGAAAACTCTCATCCAGAAACAGTCAGAATAAATAAGCCAGATATAATAAGCTGTGTGGGTTTAACATAGCATATGACGTTACATTATACCACAGTCTCATGGAAGCAGGGATTCTAAATATAAAAAGCTGTCGCATTAACAGGCAGGATGTTGGTTATTCGCTATTCGGGAAGTAATAAAGTGATTCTTGAGTGCTAGGAGATGACTGTTTCAAGAAATAAATGGATACGTTAATTAATTAGTAATGTATATATTGTAAGTAGACCGAATTGTTAGGATAAGGGGGAAAACGAGGATGATGATAACAGGCGATATAAATATACGCAGTTATGATAGCAGTGGGTAAATTGTGAGACATTTGCCAGACACAGATGGCCCAAGCAGGAGCTAGTAATCCTAAGGTAAGTACGTGCTTGCCAAGTCTCCTTGTGATAGCAAATAAATCCCCAAAATTAATAGTTCTGTAAGCCTTCGATAGTTAATGCTGACTGCATTAGCTTTACTGGGCTCACTCAGCTGAAGGTGCTTGGTCGAGCATCCGCAATTTATCACGAGTCGGTGCGCCGCGCTACACATCTTCAACCGTTAGCAAGTTTAAACCAGACGCTTCTCAACGTATCGATAGCCTTTCAGACATAACTTCGAAACTCTTCAAACTTGACCGGATTGGCGTACTTCGACTGTGAAGGTGTTACTAGTAAAGGTGCCATCAAAATCTGAATACATGCGCTGTATTTATCATCTTTAAACTATCCACTGAAATCACTACGGTCATTTCGGCTAGGATAGCATTCCGATTGGAGCAAATTTTAATAAGAATAAGTGGGAGCACACCTGAGTTGTTGTTCTTTAATGTGTTACTGTTCGAAAGTCGACTTGAAGAGCGCAGTGGTGAAATTCTGGTAGAATTTTCTTGTCCCAGTGGCTTGGCTTACTCAATGTTCTGTATGCCATTATAAGACTACGGATTATTCTCTTATAGTTCAACGAGAATAGTCCCAATTGTTAGAATACGTTTTCATAAGATTTATGTTCTAGCTCTATCTCTCAATTGATTGCTTATCTTTGTTCTTGGCCTAAAGGATTGATATCTCTTCTGAAGAGAGGGGGAGTAGCGCCATTAAGAACTTCAAGACAGGGTTGTGTTTGCGTTTTCAACAGTGTTAGGAACAGCCCTGGGGTGGATACGCTAATTTATTTAAATTAGGTGGGGAATAGCATTTGCCTTGATAGGATGTTCACGACTTGACATTTCGATAAATTAAATTCTAACTCATTGTCCATTGTCCGTTTCTCCGTTGTAAGATCTTTACGAGGCTCAAAGGAATCTTGTTTGCTTTTGCTGGACCTGGAAAAATTTACGCTGGGTGATTAGGCATTGGCTAAAAATATCTTGGTACTGATTCTAGGACCAATATTCTGTAGCGGTAAATAAATCGCCAAAATATTCCATCGAAAAGTGTAGATGAGCATTGGTTGCAATCGCATGACTCTATAAAAATAAAGAGCAAAGTCGCTCGCAACTTCTCGAAACGTCCGGCTTATCCTCACAAGGTTTCTTCAGGCTCCTTACAACTCATCGAGACCCGTCGATCCACTCCGGATGACCGTGAGTTTGACTACAAACGACGATGGTTAAGTAATGGAATTGGGCATAGATTGCGTAAGGACCGAGAAGCCTGGTAGTCGGAGCGTGCTAATGGGTTGGAAGCAGCAGCTGCTTCTGGTAACTACCGGAAGCTCTTCCAACTCATCCGAGCCACTAGCAGCAAGAAGTCTGGTGTGAGCGAAACAATCTTTGTGGATGACGGGATGCCAATCACTAATATCCATCGACGTCTTGGACGATGGGCAGAATTTTTCGAAGGGCAGTTCAACTGGCCTGCTGCTCCGGCAACATCCACCACTTCCCTGCCCTCCACGGCCTGCGACGACTGATCCACCAATTGAAGTGGAAGTCCAACTCTTGGAGCACCCTATATACAAACACCTCAGGTAGAGTGACGGCATATAACCACCTTTCTCCATTGTTCCATTCAAGCAGTGGGGTTAGACTGGGTTGTCCAATCTCAACATTCCTCTTCGACTTGCCATCGATGACATTCTGGAAACAGCTCTGATGGATGTAAGTAATGGCGATATGGATCTGTTGCCTGCAGAAATACTTCTCGACCTTGAGTATGCGGACGATATTGTCTTACTGTGCGATAATGCCCAAGACATGCAATCCGCACTTAATCAGTTGTCTGTCAATGTCCGTATGTACGGTATGTGCTTTGCACCTTCGAAGTACAAAGTGCTTTTACAAGACTGGCAGGATTCTGATCATGTACTCACCCTGGATGGTGAGCAGATAGACGTAGTCGAGAAGTTCGTGTATCTGGGTAGCTGCATAAGTGCTGGTGGGGGTGTGAGTGAAGAGATCAATGCACGTATAGTGAAAGCCAGAGCGGCTTATTCCAATCTGGGACATCTTCGGCGCCTTCGTCACGTTACTTTACTATACTTTATACTATAGTCAACAAAAGCACTGCATCGATGCCTTAACCACAGTCCATAGCTTGTAACTGCCTGATAAGCTTTTAAAATGGTACTTATAAAAATAGTGCTTTCCAACAGGATGTGAAACACAGAGGATTGCGTGAGGTATGACATATATACAAAAATAAGCTTAAATGTGCCTAACATCACAAAAGGAGGGAGGGTGGAGTTACTGACCAGCAAGCATTGATGGTGGGGGCGATAAATTCAATCCACCCGTGTTTGTGAGGGCAGAACATTTAGTATATGTCAGGCTCTTTATGAATGTGAATAAGTCAATCAATCTGTCATATAGATTGTCTTCCTACGTTCATCAATCAGACTCACGTTTCCAATATTATGCTGGATTGGCTATTCTACTACGACAACCTATAACATGCTAACTCGGACTTTTACACTAGGATTGTGTGGCTGGCATCGGACGAACAAACAAAGGAAAAAAATTAGATAACAAAAGATATAGTCATTAGTATTCTTAACACTTCACCCTCTATATACACCCTTCTAATAAGCCGCCTTCCTTGTACCAGCCTTGACTTCTTTTCCTTCATGTGAGCTTACTCCAACTTGTCAAACGACACAACTCATTGTTCTTCATTACTACATTCTCTAATACGGAGCCTCTGACTTCATTTCACTCTAATAATATGAATTTATTCTAATTTATTATACATCTGTCCGTTCTACTACACAATGTTAAGCAACGTTTGGCGTTCATATACAAGTGCCTTGCTGCTCTAGTGTTTCTCTTTTTATTTCTTCTTTAGAAAATTGCACTGACGGCACGGCCATCAAACTTCTAACGTTTGGAACAAACACGCGTCCCCTCAAGGTCACGGTTTACAGCAAGCGCCCTACGAGTATACTTTTTAACAACTATAAACTTCATAAGTTGAGAAGCATTTTGTGAATCAACAAATGTTTTAATTTATAGATCATGCCTGTAAAAATGGCGTGTACCCGCACATGCAGAAACATATATTATATATTATATATGTTATTCTGGCTGTTAAAGGTCGGATTTACAACGCGTCGGTGTGAGCAGTTTCACTCTATGCTTGTGAAACCTGGCCTCTCCGAGTTGAGGATGTTAGACGTCTCTCTGTGTTTGATCATCGTTGTCTCCGAAGGATTGCTGACATCCACTGGGAATACCATGCTTGGACATGTTTCATGCCTTAAGGTAACCCTCGTGCTATTGATAGAAGAAACCAGACAAGTAGTGAATGAATGCTGATCTACTAAGGCCGATCATACAAAGCTCAAAATCTGGCCACAAAGTCTTGTGAGTTTCTCAGTTTTTTATTTTTCTTACCCTAAAATCTTTCTTCTTTTCTACAATTTTATACCTTCTCATATCTTTTGATTTGCTATTAGTCCTTCCTCCTTTAAACCATTAGTTATTTTCATAGCAGTGTGATATACTGTGTGGACATCTAACCCATAAAACAGAATTTTTAAATATCTGATTTGCTTGTAACATGGACCTAGTAGAGATAGTGTATTCCAACCACGGGCTTTGATTAAAGCAGTATTCATACTTACCACAAACGTAAGAGAGCCTAACATCACAAAAAGAGGGAGGGTGGCGTTACTGACAAGCAAATGTGATGGTGGGGAGATAAATTCAATCCACCCATGTCTGTAGGGCAGAACATTTTGTTTAATTACGGCTCCTTATGGTTTAGTGGGATGTCACGAACTTATGGTATTGAGGCTGATTTATCACGCAAAATACCTCTTTAAATCGTGTTACGAACGTTGAATTGGTCTCACTTCCTACCCAGAAATCCTATTACAAGCAAACTAGACAATTCGCTAATATACAAAGCCTACTCAAGACCCTATAATACCTGAAAAAAATAATACAAAAAAACGAAAGGGGCTCTAATAGCTTCGATAATAAAAGGAAGATAGCCAATTGTGTATCACAATACTGTTTCTAGCACTATATTTTATTTTATAACCACACATAATCCCATACTATCAGCTCCTTTCTGAATCCCCTCCATTTGTCAGTTGCATGTCCACTCACACCTTGTTAACACTTATTTTCTTTAACCTATTAAAATGCTCTTTCTTAACAAATACCTTAATAAAAGAAAATTAGAC